GTCTTTGTGGCATACTCGTTTGATGCGGGAGATGAACGCAAAGTCGGGAATGACGGTGGTGGGGAGGTGGTGGCGGAGGGAGCGGACATATTGGATGAAGCGGTCCTTGGGACCGGTCTGACGGAGGTGGCAGAATTGTTCAAGGTAGTCATCAATGGTTTTCTAGGGGCGGAAGGTGGCAGTGAGAAGGTTGGCCCATTGGAGGAAGGAGTGACGTGGTCCTCCGGAGGTTCGACGGTTGCTGACTTCAGCCATCCACCATTTGGCGGCATTGTCGAGGATGCGGGAGGTGGCAATGGGGAGCCAGTGGGCAAGGGGCATGTGGTAGAGGTGAAAAGAGTTATGGAGTTGGGTTAGGAAGAGGAAAACGTCCTCGTGGGGGAGGCCGGAGAAGGACATGATTTCGCCGGATTGGAAGGAACGGGGGATTTCCCCGTCTCGGGAAACTTATTCATTGATATAATTCATTTTCTAAACGTAACGCCAAGATACCGGTTACAAAGGCACCTAACAAAATTAAGATAACTTGATTGTCAGATATAGGCATTTTTTTCTCCATTCTTTTCAATTATGTGATATATTAGTAAGTAATTAGTGATTATCATTTATTGAATTTTACAATACATAAATATTGTCTATTGTATGATTCTATTCTACAATTTTACAGTATATTTTTAGATTCATGGGCGAGGGTGTTGAAGCTGAGGTTATCAAGGGTGGTGTCGTAGCAGGTGAAGTCGAGTTGGTTGTTGTCCTCAAGGAGGTAGTTGGGGGGGAGTTGTGGCATTGCGGGGTAGACCCCGGAGGTGACTTGGGAATAGGTGGGACGGATGGTGGGGGTGGTGGAGGTCGTCATGATGGGTTGGGGAATGGTATGAGAGTGCGGGGGAGGAAGAGGGGTGACGTGGATAGGCGAGGAATGAGGCGGTGTGTTGGATGCGCCGGATGACGGAGGAGGTGGGGGGAGCGAAACGGTGGTGGATGATAAGGGGGGGGGAAGGGTTGAGGAGGAAGGGTTGGTGGATATGGTGGTAGAGGTGGTAGGGGTGGAGGAGGTCGGGAGGGGGGTGTTGCTGGAGGCGGCTGTGGAGGAGGGAGTGGTCTGCGCTGTGGAGGAGGGAGGTGCGGCCGTGGTGACAACCGTGATGGACGGGTTGTTCCCTTCGAGCGTGGATGATATGGTGGCCTTTATGTTGTTGAGAGAGGCGGTCACGGAGGTTTGGAGGGTGTTGAGTGTGTGGAGGATGGCGGAGAGGTTGGGGGTGGTGGTGTTTGGTGGTGGTTGTTCGCCCGCGAGGTTGCGGGCGATGCTATCGACTGAGTCGGTGCGGATGTCAGACATGTTGATGGAGGATGCGGCCATGTCGGGGGAAGAGGGGGTGGAGGACGCGGCCTGAGCGGATGTGGAGGATGCAGCAGCAGCGGCGGCGGCGGCGGCGGCGACACGTTGGGAGTTCTTGATTTGGCGTGGTGGCATGTGAAGGTGGGGGGGGGCAATTCCGTATTTATTTATCAATAAATTCAAAAATAAAGATAATTGCCAACATTTTTTGTAAAGTAGGGAATTTTATTTATTCGAAATTAAGTAGGGTAGAACAAAATTTTGAAGGATCCGAAGGAGAGATTTACAAAATTCGTTGTTCAAAATATTAGTAGAAAATAAATTTGAATCTATTTCCGAATTTATTTACGTGAATTTTTGAAATATCTTCAAATTATAGAAAAAGAATTAGGAGGTGGAATTTTAAACAATTTCGTTGAATTTTTGGAAATATAATAATTAATTCTGAAGGGATTAATTCCGAGCGTGAATTTAAAGAAATTTCAGCAGAGAAAAGAAATTTTGAGACAATTTCGTAAAAATAAGTAATTAATTTCAAAGTTCAAAATGTGAATTCAAAATGTCAGGAAAGGCTGATTATGAGTTGCAAAAGGATTCCAAGGAATTTGGAAAGAAATTAAGGGTATTCCAAAAAAAGATGAATTAATTTTTAAAGTATTCAAGAAAATTTCGAAAAAGAAAAAGAAATTTCGAAGAAAAAGAATTACCTAATTTCGAAATATTTCAAAGAAATTTCAAAAAGAAGTAATGAGTTCAAAAGTATTTTAAAATTCGAGAAAGAACAAATTAGTTAATGCAAAAGGGAAATTCAGAAGGAAAATTTCAAACAGAAAAGATTTTCAAAAAAAATTGTGAAAACGGTGATTTAATTCTAAAGTATTTTGAAAAGATTTTGTGGAACTAACGAATTAATTGGGACGTATTTTCGAAAATAGTACAAAAGTAATTTGAAAAAGAAATAATTTCTATATATAAAAAAAAAAAATCGGTCGTGAAATTTTGAAAAAGGGAAGCTTTAAATTGTAAAGAATTTTCAGAGAGGAAGTATTTTGAGAAATTTGAAAAATTAACTACTTGTTTCCAACGTATTTCAAAAAGAAATTTTGAAAACGGACTAATCGTTTTTTTTTTTTTTTTTTTTAAGGTAGATTGATACAAAAGTATTTTGAAAGGAGATAGATTAGCTAGATGATAGCTTGGATAACTAACGGGGCGCAGCGGGGGGTGCAAATACGCGCGGAGGGAGGAAAGGGGGAATTGGGGGGGAAGCAGGATTGGGTCCAGCGGGCTGGGATCGGGTACGCGGAGGGGCAGTGGGGGGGA